ATCAAGAATCGATATTCTGTGAGTAGATAGATGATAGATAGGAAACATAATCTGAGGAAAATAGAAAATATAATTTATACAACCAAAAGTGATCACAAGATAGTCATCCTCAAAATAGAATCGGATATAGATTTAAGAAAAAAAAACAAGACAAAAACAAAGAAAATAGGAATAAAACAACTAAATCTTAAACTAGAAATAACTACTACAGAGGACTAAGAAGAATATAAAGTAAAGCTTGAAGAAGAAATCAAAAGACAAGTGAAAGAGCTTAATAGAAGAAACAAAGAAGAAAAAAAGCTCTACCATAACAGAGATAACAAAAGAGGTAGTATTCTATAGTAGACAGAAGAATTTGAGAAACTAAATATTGACTAAATGTAAGACGTAGTTGAATGAGCTATTAGAATAGCAGCAATAAGCATACTTCTACAAAAGAAAAAAATAGTTGAACTTATACTAGCAGAAAGATGCAGCATCATAACTAACAGGCTCAGACAAGATACAAAAAAACTTATAAATAGTGCAGAAAGATAAAAAGAAAATGCTATATAAATCTGTCAGACAAAAAAAAGAAAATTTAAACATCTTTATTAGAACAATTAAAAGAAAATAAAACCTAAAGGATATAGCAGATCTAGTAAATAATAAAGATTTAGAAATATGGTAGAAAGTGCTATACAAGAAATAGCAAGCTAAAAAACAAACAGAAGAAGAAAGAAGAATTAGAGACTTTATAGAAAAAATATAAAATAATAGTGAAAGACCAAAGAAGAATGATCAACAGTATACTAGACAGGCCTTATAACAACATTAAAATTAGCAAAGTAATCAAAAAAGATGAAAAAGGAAACAAGAACAAACTGCTAAATGAAGCAAACAAGGTACAAGCAGAGGTCAAAATCATTTCATGAAACAGTTTAGAAAAGAAATACAAAGGCAAGCAAACTACTTGCAAAATAGAAAGAAAGATATAAACCAATAAAAAAAGTATAAGCTCAATGGTACAATGATGTTAATAAAGAGATCTCTAATGCAGAATGATTAGAAGCATTAGCACAAATCAAGAATACATTAGCACCAGACCCAACAGATATAACATATCCACAATTAAATACAGTCAGGGATATTACTATATTTGGGCAATGATGATTACACCTTATTTAGTAATAATCTTCAGTAAGATTTTTCTAGATTTCATTTCCAGATTATTCTACAGATCGTAATTCTCATTAAAATAATTGCACGTTGCAGGTTCTTCCGTTCAATATTAGATAAAAGTTAAAACATCTCTGCTGATATTCTTGTATTCATATCTTATCTAATTAAAAGAATTCGACCATTAAGTTACAGTAATTTTGTTTTTAGTTATAGAAGCATATATGCATCAACTCTGATTATATTGATATTTTCAAAAGTAATTATTCGATATATTCAA